ATACAGCATGTATTAGAAAAGGAATGGTCCGAGAGCATCAGTTTATGACGTATAACTCATTAAAGTAAATCACGAGAAGTAGATATTATACATTAACTTGGGGATATCTAACAGGGAAGCCATCAGAAAATATTGTAGGAAATACTAAAATGTGCAATCCCGAATAAAAAAAAAAGTGTCGTGTAATACATCAAAGTGAAGATTGAGAATTTATTTAAATATCACCTTTTGAAATTAAAACTTTATTATAATAATATTGGAATTATAAACTACGTTTTGATGCCAAGTTTACTGACACACATTGATAATTAAGTGGGGTTATTAAATTTTGAATTTAACTGTAAAAAAAAAAGGACATGACGTGCATCTTGGCCTACCGTATCTAGAGGGTTAATAACTTTTAAAGTATCTGCACGTCATACACGTGACAGAATATTTGAAAATAACCATATTTCTACTGGTCTGATGTTTAGAAGTAACTTTGATAAAACTAACCACTGCTACAGTTTTAGGATTTATCTCAGAAATGTCAAGATTATTTGAAAGAAACCTTATGGTTATGTGTAGATTAGCTATATATTTCTGTGAAATAAAACATTGAATTGTGCTAGACTAAGTATATAAGGTACTAATCAAGTTAAATTAATTAGCTAAGTATTTGAGAGTTATTTCTTACGATGGGTTGTTTTTCACTTAACTATGGAAACTTAAACACTTTTTACCTTGTACAGGTTTCTCGTTACAATTTCATAATGTTTTTGAATAGTGTTTTGGGTTGCAAAGTCTACAGGTGTAGTGATTAGTTTTAACCAGTTTTTGTTCTTTTCGCCAGGCGGCCAAAATTCCAGACTATAGAGGGCCTGAAGGAGTGTGGACACTGCTTCAAAAAGGCCAAGATGTTAAGTATGTGAAAGTTTATCGTAAAACACTAGCTTTGGGTAAAAAAGTAACTTAGACAAAAATTTGTGACTGTTTCTCTGTTCCTAACTCTTGGATCATAAGGTCCAAACTGTATATGTGCCACATGGATAACAGGCTATATACGCTAGTGTATACAGAGAGTCTGTTATTGTTTTTTTATATTGTGAAAACAGACATTGAGTAACAAATAAACTTTCATTTGTTTTTTTAAAACAACATGCATTATGTTCTACAAGTAAATACAATTGGTTGAATTTTAATGTTCATAAGAATTAAAATATAAAACCGTGACAACTTTAGTTGCAGCTGTGGCCATTTTTATCATATTTAAATGAAAAAAATCAAAAGAATGGCATTTGTTTCGTGGCTTGACGCCATGATTTTATTTTTCCTATTGAAATTTTCAATAAACATTTCCTTCAGAAGTTTACGATTAATGCACCGTATAAGTCAAAAATAAAGGCGTAACAGATTGTTTGGTCATTTCTTTCAGAATTAAAGTAAGTGTCAGTAATAGAATGATGAATGAATTTTTGATTCAAGAATGAAGGGTACGAGAGGAGCCTTATAATGTTATCTTGAATGATTTCTTTTATGGATTAACATATATAATTAATTTGAAATCAAAATCTTTTAAGGTCACATTCAGCCTGAAATATTTAAATAGGAGTGAATTTAAGTTCTGTAACTATAACAGTTTGTTGGTGTTACGATTTATTGTTTGTTCTCTACAGTTTTTTGGGTTCATAGTGTTGTGTTTTTTTTTTGTGTGTGTGTAGAGTTTTGGACATCGCCACTGCAGAACCTACGTATACTCACATGAGTGTAAGCGAACTTTATCGACGTGGGTTCATTGCTCACGTTGTCTCTCAAAACTGTGACGGTCTTCACTTGCGCAGTGGTCTTCCTCGAGGTGCCTTATCTGAAGTTCATGGAAATATGTACATTGAGGTATGTGATATAGTGTGTGCCACAAGTATGTTTTTTTTCAGCAATATCCATTGCATACAGTCATTTTCTATTCAACAGTTAGCTTCCACTCCTGGTATTTGTAAATTTTCTGCTTTAGTTTACAACCTTAAGATTCTGATTCTAACTTAGTTCTTCGTGGATCAGTTATTGATCTTGTTCTACCTGGATCAGTTATTGATCTTGTTCTACCTGGATCAGTTATTGATCTAGTTCAACGTGGATCAGTTATTGATCTAGTTTAAAGTGGATCAGTTATTGATCTAGTTTAAAGTGGATCAGTTATTGATCTAGTTCTACGTGGATCAGTTATTGATCTAGTTCTTCATGGATCATTTCCCTGATGTCTTGATGAAACCTTTCCTCCTTGTTCTTCGCCGACGGCACCGAGATTTTCAGGGAATATGTGAGTGTAAGAAATGAGCTTTCAAGCTCATATTACAACCCAACTCTTTGAATTTATCGATAAATTTATTGTATAAAGAAGCAATGACCAAGTAGAGTCACCCTGATACCAGGATCGAAAAACACTGAACGTGAAAGTTTGGTTAACACAAAGAAAGCCCCATTACCTCCACTTCACATAAACCTGGGCTTGATGAAACAGTTTGTAAAGGCCTTCGACAAAGATGGCGACTGTTTCAAGTATCTATTTGGGCAATTCCCAGCTCTTTTACAAGCGAAACTTAAAGAAGGGATTTTTGTTGGGCCTCAGATTAGGAAATTGACTTTGGATGAACAATTCGAAAGGGTAGAAGTTGAAAAAGACGTGTGGATTGGCTTTAAAGATGTTATTGACAACATTTTTTAGAAAACAACAAGGACCCAAATAAGGAAAATATTGTTAATAACATGCCCACAAATATAACAGAATATGTTTAGGTCACTTACACAACCTCTTGTTGCCATAACGACAAATAAATAATATTGAAAAGAAAAATTAATATCAAAGTGCACGCACAGACAAATACTGTCCAGAAATGACACGTCATGCAGCCTGTTAATTGTTTATATACTTGTGGTGTGTTTCTCGTGGGTTCTAGAACAATCGATAAGACTCTTGTGTTACGATTGGTCTAGAGAAATCGCAATAATATTGAAAATAAAAAAATTAATATCAAACTGCACGCACAAACAAATACTGTCCAGAAATGACACGTCATGCGGCCTGTTAATCGTTTATATACTTGTGGTGTGTTTCTTGTGGGTTGTAGAACAATCAATAAGACTCATGTAGCGATTGGTCTAGAAAAATCTATAGCCAGTGGTTGTCAACATTTAAAGCATAACAAAATTGGACCCAATTTCAATGAAAATGATTCAATTATGTAAAAGTACATATGACGTTTTGTGAAAAATCTGTACGTGATGGAGAAAAATGGATATCATTTTCAGATTCACCTTACAGGAGTTACTGTAGAACATGTAAAAATTTCAAGACAATAAAACCATCGCTGGCCTGTGTAATCTTTGGTCAATCTGAGGTTCTTATTCTAAATATATTGAGGACTGTTTTACTGTATTATATCGAGAAATGAAATGGATAATTATGCCAGCTCGATCATTTGAAATTTGAGAACTTTTCTCGCTGTTTCTATCTGTCTATGTTACATGAATTTATTTTTACCTCGTAAGAGAATTAAATAGGAAAAGGCGGAACAGTTCTTTCTATAATTAAAAAAACTGTTTAATCTAAAGTCTCGAAGGACGTTTGAAATAAAAGTATTAACAGTTTTAGTCAAATTTATTTTGCAATGTTTTCTTTTGGGTTGAAGTAATGTAAAATATATTATCTCTGTTTTACTTCATTTTTACATCTTGTTTGTAGGTTTGTACAAAATGTAAACCTCTACGTCAGTATGTAAGGCTGTTTGACGTCACAGAAAGGACGAGTCTCCGCCGTCATAAAACGGGGAGGTACTGCCATAAATGCAGTGCCGAACTGATTGATACAATAGTTCACTTTGGAGAGAGGGGTCGACTTAGGTGGCCAATCAACTGGGAAGGTGCCGTGAAAGCCGTAGAAAATTGTGATGTTATTCTTTGTCTTGGGACCAGTCTAAAGGTAATTTTCAGACGTAGAGATGTTCAGAAGAAAATCAAAACTTAGTTTAAGATTTTAAACTATCATGAAGTTTGTTTGTTTTTCCTTCTAAAACTTGCTCTTTAATGAGAAATTTCCTAATTGAATGACTATACAAAATTCCTCGGCCAGTATAAAATAGCTTTATTTTTTGTATCATTTGTTCATTTATGCTTTTTCTGGAAACTAATGGTTTGGCATTAACGTTTGTTTTGCTAATAATAATTTAAGCTTGACTACCTACGTTTTTTAAATGTGGCAGTCTTACTTGTTGTGATGCAAACTCTTAAGTCTGAAATATTTTCCGTTTTTTAAAAACTTCATTTTTTAGCTAACATTTACATTTGAAAAGAGGGTATTTCACTTGGTATAAACAATAGATTTAGAGGGGGCCTGTTAATGTGAGTAATTACACTGTATTGTTAGCAGACAATTTGATTAAAATATGTGAATTTTCACAAAGTCGCTGGGTTTTTTGGGGGGGGATGTGTTTTCAGCACTGCTGTTTTCGAGAGCATTTATTTCTTATTGGATGTTGAAAACTAAACTGAATCAATGCTTATATCACGTGCTTCATACAGGCAAGACGACATTTGGTTATTTACATGTTTATTTTGTATTCTGGTCCTTTAGGTTCTCAGGAAATACCACTGTCTCTGGGCACTAGATAAACCTTTGCAGGAACGTCCCAAAGTGTACATCGTCAACCTGCAGTGGACCCCAAAGGATGACAAAGCTGTTTTAAAGATAAATGGTTTGTTTACTTTATGTTGTCTTTTATTTATGCTGTAATCCAAATATAGATAAATAAGTTTTGATATGTAGTTCCAGTGGACTAGGCATTTCTTTTTTTTTTATCCACATTCTTAAATTACAGGATCCCTTCTGTGGTTGTAGCTACATTTTAAAACTACAAGATCCCTTTGGGATTTCTTCTGTGGTTGGAGCCACATTTCAAAACTACAAGATCTCTTTGGGATTCCTTCTGTGGTTGTAGCCACATTTTAAAACGACAGGATCCCTTCTGTGGTTGTAGCCACATTTTAAAACTATAGGATCCCTTCTGTGGTTGTAGCCACATTTTAAAACTACAGGATCCCTTCTGT